GATCTTACGATCGTTCCCGTTCGATCGATATCACTCGATCGATCTCACAATCGATCTCACTCGATCTATTTCGTTCGATCGATCTCACAATGGATATGACGATCGATCTCACAATCGATCTCACTATCGATCTCACTACCAATCTCACAATCGATCTCACACTCGGTCTCACTATCGATCTCACGATCGATATCACAATCGATCTCACAATCAACGTCATCATCATCATCAACTTTCACCAACGTCACCATTATTATCTTCGTCGCCATCAGGACACCAACAACATCATCATCGCTTCATCACCATCACCATAAACATCATCATCACCATCATCATCGGGACACCATCATCGTCAGCATCACCATCATCAACATCATCCACATCGGGACACAATCATCATCATCACCGGAACACCACCACCATCATCATCATCTTATCACCATCAGCATGAACAACATCAACATCATCATCCTCATCATCATCATCATCATCGGGACACCATCATCATCAGCAGCATCATCAGCAACATCATCATCATCATCATCATCATCATCATCGGGAGACAATCATCATCGTCACCATCATCATCAGCACCATCATCATCATCGGGGCACTGTCATCACCATCAGAATCATCATCACAATCATCGGGCCACCAGCATCAAAACCATCATCACCACCTCATCGTCATCCTCATCATCAACATCATCATCCTCGGGGCACCATCATCGTCATCATCATCAACATCATCATCATCGGAACACCACCATCATCATCACCATCATCCTCAACAGCATCATTATCAACTTCATCATCATCATACCATCATCATCATCAGTATCATCATCATCTTCATCACAGCCGTCATCACCCCATCATCATCAACATCATCATGATCATCAACATCATCATCATCATCATCATCATAATCATCATCATCATCGGGACACCATCATCATCAGCAACATCATTATCATCAACATCATCATCATTGGGGCACCATCATCAGCACCACCATCATCGTCATCATCATCATCATCAAAATCGTCAACGTCATCATTATCATCATCATCGGGAAACCGTCATCATCACCACCATCACCACCATCTAATCATCATCAGCATCAGCATCAGCATCAGCATCAGCATCATCATCATCATCATCATCATCATCATCATCATCATTATCAACATCATCGACCTCATCGGGACACCGACGGGACACCGGCGGGACACTGGCGGGACTCCGCGCGCCACCGGACGCCGGAAGGGAGACATTTGGCCCGGCCGCGCCTCAGCCAGAGGCGGGACACCGGCGGGACACCGCGCGCCACCGGACGCTAGAAGGGAAACATTTGGTCTGGCCGCGCCTCAGCGGGAGGAGACTTTCTTCTCGCCCGCCCACGCAGCTTCGCCTCGCCCGCACGCACGGCACGCACGAACACGAAACCGAAACCGATTTCCTGGTAGGGGGGCTCTCCGTTCCACTTCGATTTCACCCCCTCACCTCCGACATACATACACAGATATACATATATTACACGTAACGACGCGCTCGAATCGGTTCCCGGCGCGTGGGGGGCGCCCGCGGATTTCTTCGCGGGGTTCTCGCGTGCGGCTGGCGCCAAGCGAGTCTGCCCCACGTGGGGACGAGGGGAGGAAGGTTGAAATAGGAGGGAGTTACATACGTAGGCAGCGGGGGACGGCTGTGGAAGGCACGGGGACAAGGAAAGGAGCCTGAGGAAGGCAGGAGGGAGGGAGAAGAGGGAGGAGAAGGGAGGGAGGAGGAAGGTGCTGAAGAAGGAGACAAGCTAGGTGCACTTGCGCCAGATCAAACATCCTACCCCTCCCTCCCACCCCTTCCCATTGCGCTGATTGTGTCTATATCCGCCGACGTGTGTCATAGCGGACCTGAAACTCAAAATAGAACCCGTATCGCATGTATGTGCAATCGGAGAAAAAATATTGGAGTTGCGCACTTTGAAGGAGGAGGTTGCGGACGAGCAGGAGGATGAGAAGGAGGAAAAGGAGGATGAGGAGGATGAGGAGGGAGGAGGACAAGGACGAACAGCAGTAGCAGCAACTGGAGCGAAAAAACGGGAGGAGCAGGAGGACCAGGGCAAGGCGGAGGAGGGGAAAGAAGGGGGACGACGACGATGAGGAAGGGTTCGGATCCAATGAGGCCCTGCAGATCGGAATTATCCCGGCAAAGCAACCTAACAGCAATGTGTGTAAGCATATCTGGAAGTATTCCCCTTAAGATTCAGGTGAGAATCCAGTTGTAGAATTCTGCTGTACTCGCAGTCGCAGTCGCAGTCGCAATGACAGTCGCAGTGGCAACGGCCTTAGGATCCACTGGAACCCTAAGGATTTCGAGGGATTCCGTAGACATCCTTAGGCATCCTTAGGAAACCTTAGGAATCCGTAGGAATCTTGATTCCTAAGGATTCGTGGGGATTCCGAAGGATTCCTGAGGAATCCTAAGGATTCCCAAGGATTCCTCAGGATGCTTAACTATGCCTACGGATTCCTAACAATGCCTACGGATTTCTAAGGATTCCTATGGATTCCTAAGCATTCCTACGGATTCCTGCAATTGCCTCAGCCTGGCTCAGTTTCAGCTTCAGCCTGCCTCAGCCGCAGCTTGCCTCAGCCTCAGCCCCAGCCTGCCTCGGCCTCAGCCTCAGCCTGCCTCAGCCTCAGCCTCAGGCCTGCCTCCTCAGCCTCAGCCTGCAGCCTCAGCCTCAGCCTGCCTCGGCCTCAGCCTCCTCAGCCTGCCCAGCCTCCCCTCCTCCCCCCCCCCCCCCCCATTCAGCCTCACCTTGTCTCAGCTTCGGCCTGCCTCGGCCTCATCCTCAGCCTCAGCCTCAGTCTCAGCCTCAGCCTGTCTCGGCCTGAGTCTGCCTCAGCCTCAGCCAGCCTCAGCTCAGCCTCAGCCTGCCTCAGCCTCAGCCTCAGCCAGCCTCAGCCTCAGCCTGCCTCAGCATCAGCCTCAGCCTCGGCCTCAGCCTGCCTGGCCTTGCCTCGGCCTCAGCCTCAGCCTGCCTCGGCCTCAGCCTCAGCCTCAGCCTGCCTCAGCCTCATCCTCAGCCTGCCTCAGCCTCAGCCTGCATCAGCCTCAGCCTCAGCCTGCCTCAGCCGCAGCTTGCCTCAGCCTCAGCCCCAGCCTCAGCCTCAGCCTGCCTCGGCCTCGGCCTCAGCCTCAGCCTCCCTCAGCCTGCCTCAGCCTCTCAGCCTCAGCCTTCATCAGCGTCAGCCTCAGCCTCAGCCTGCCTCCGCCTCAGTCTCAGCCTGCCTCAGTCTCAGCCTGCCTCAGCCTCAGCCTCAGCCTGCCTCGGCCTCAGCCTGCGTCAGCCTCAGCCTCAGCCTGCCTCAGCCTCAGCCTGCCTCAGCCTCAGCCTCAGCTTGCCTCGGCGTGCCTCAGCCTCAGTCTCAGCCTGCCTCGGCCTCAGCCTGTCTCAGCCTTAGCCTGCCTCACCTCGGGCATTCAAAATATGGCACAAGATTGGTGTTCTGGGAACACGAAGATCACGAAGCCGCCCACAGTTGGCTCCGGGCAATCAAAATATTGTATAGGAATGGTGTTCTGGGAAGACGGAGAACACGAAGTGGCCTACAGCTGGCCAGAAAAATGTGGCCTGGGAATAGCGTTCTGGGAACACGAAGAACACGAAGTGGCCTACAGTTGGCTCCGGGCATTCAAAATGTGGCCTCGGAATGGTGTTCTGGAAAGACGAAGAACACGAAGTGGCCTACAGTTGGCTCCGGGTGTTCAAACTGTGGCCTGGGAATGGTGTTCTGGAGCACGAAGAACACGAAGTGGCTTACAGTTGGCTCCGGGCATTCAAAATGTGGCCTGGCAATGGTGTTCTGGTGGCTTCGGGCAGTCTCCCCGGTTTTCCGCGGCACCCGTTTGGCATCCGCCCAGACCCCCCTGGGGAATCATAAGCTGTTAGGTAAAAAAACGCATCGGAAAAACAACAACGGTCGGACCGATCCCACGTGTGAAGACAATGCGCGGAGGGGGCGCGCCACTCTCAGCACCTCTTCGGGGGAGAGAGGATGGCGGTGCTCGTGGAGTGCCTGTGCAGCCTCAGAGGGGATGCGGAGAGGGAGGGAGAAAGATGGGGGCAGAGGGCAGACAGGAAGGTGGAGATGAGTAGCGGACGGATGAGAGAAGGGTGAGAGAAGGAGGGTGCGGGCGAGAGAAGAGCAACACAGATTCGAGGGGACGGGCGAGGACCGAGGTCTCACCCCATGGACCCTATTCTAGACACTGCGTCTCGTCTCGCTGCTATGCCTCCCTCACCCTTGGCTGCAACACTGTTTGGGTGGCCTGCTTGTGCGGCGAGTGCCGCGGACCTGCCCCCGCTCATCTCGAGAGCCCTTGACAGCCTCCTCGCCGTCCCGTCGTTTTATGCCTTGCTCCTCCCCCCTTCAGGCTGACCGCTGCTTCATAAGATACGTGTTCCACCCCTACATCCCTGCCCTTGACCGGGGACGAGGGGGCTTGAGAGGGAGTCAGGGCTTGACTCGGATTCGTCCGCAGCTCCGCGCTCCGAGCAAGATGGGGAGCAGGAGGACGACGACGAGGAGGGACGAGCAGCACGTTCCCCTCGCCATCATGTGTTGGTAGATGAGGGCGAGAATAGGGAGGAGGACGGTGAGGAGGAAGATGAGGAAGAGTAGGAGGAGGAGGAGGAGGAGGAGGAGGAGGAGGAGGAGGAGGAGGAGAGGAGGGAAGGAGGAGCAGAAGGAGCCCAGGGGGAAGCAGAAGGGCAAGCGGGAGGAGGAGGAGGAGGAGGAGGAGGAGGAGGAGGAGGAGGAGGAGCAGCAGGAGCAGGAGCAGGAGCAGGAGCAGCAGAAGCAGCAGCAGCAGCAGCAGCAGCAGAAGCAGCAGCATCAGCATGGATGGAGGCGGAGGACAGCGATGCAGCGTCACGTTGCCGGCTGCACTTGATGGGGTTTTCCCCCCAGCAGCCAGCTCCCTCGCGCCACCGAGCTCTGGGAGCGCCAAGGTCTGCGAGCAGCGCGGCGGGCGGCTGGCGTCGCCACGCAGCGGGGAGGAGAGGAGCGCGCTGCAGGGCGCCCTGGACGCGGCCCAGGCCCAGAGCGAAGAGGAGGAGGAGGACGAGGAGGAGGAGGAGGAGGAGGAGGAGGAGCAGGCCCCCTCGTGTCGCCCCCTATCTGGTCGGTCTCCCTCCAGGGTCCCCCCCTAGTCTAGGCCCCTAGTCATCTGGCGGCCGCATGCGGCCGGCGTTTGTATCCCCCCCCCCCGCCCGCTAAGGGCCCTGCGGCGCTCGGGGGTCGAGGGCTCCAGGCTCCGGCGAGCCAGAACAGTCCGCAGCTCCGAGGAGAAGCAGGAGCAGGAGGCGCAGGAGGCTGAGGAGGAGGCGGAGGAGAAGAAGGGGGGCGCGGGTGGAGGGATTCGAAGTCCAGCTCCGCAGGTTGGCGGTCAGAGTCTCGCAGAGCAGTGCACGCGCGGCGTCCTCCTGCGGGAAGCGGGAGGAGCGGGCGACGCGGAGATAAAAGTCGCGCGGTGGTTTTCTCATCCCCGAGGAGCCAGAGACCGAAGAGGGAGCGTGTTAGCCGTCCATGCGGGTCAGGGTACCCTTGCAATCCACGCGAAACCTTGCGGCCACAGTATTTCGAGGAGCTCACCGTCTTCCTCTGCCGTCGCAGCCATCCTGATGTATCGTTCCGTCGATGAAACCTGATCGGAGAGGTCGATCAGGCTCTCGATCAACGATGTGCTCTGCGCGGACCAGCCAGGACACGTGAGCGCACCCTCAACAGCTGTCGTTGCAGATCAAGGAGCAGCTTAGGGAATCTACGCGGGCCCGTGAAACTGTCCTCGCAGGTCTGTGGGCAGCATTGACAGATCTCGGAGCAGGTCTAGTGGCAACATTGGGGAAGTCAATGCGGGCTTGGGCATGCGCCTGTTCATTTCTTGTCACAGCATGTCTTCCTCACGGCATGGCCTGCGCACTGCTGCTTCTATTGCCGGCGATCTCTGCGCCGCCATCTGCCCCCACTCATCTTTCCCCTCTGCTGCGGGCCTTGCGGCACTCTGCCCTCCCCCGTCTTTCCCCGCTGATCTTTCCCCCTCTGCCCCCTGTCGAGGGCCAGAGTCTGGGCGACTGGGGGTGGGGGCGGAGGCGGGCGGCGGGGTGGGCCGGCAGGGAGAACACCGAGAGAGCGGCGACGGAGGGCACCGCCCAGCGCCACTGGCGCGGACGCTCCGCAGGCCATCTTGGCTCGAGCCCCCGCCGCGGCGCGCGCCCATGGCGGCCGCGGGCGGCCCACCACGGCCTCGTGGGCGCGGGCGCCGCGCGACCGGCGCGCTCGCGGCCGCGGCCGTGGCCTTCACCGCGGCGCGATGGCGCCCGGCGACGCCCGGAGCGGCGAGCCCGGCCTTCGCCGCGCCGGTCGCGGGGGGCGTGCCCGAGCCCGCGCGCTTGGCGGGGCGGCGCGCGGCCAGCTCTGGGCGCAGGCCTCGTTCCATCCTCCCCTCGGCGGCGGGGCAAGAGGGGGGGCCTCTCCTCCTCCTCCTCTTCTTCTTCCTCCTCCTCCTCCTCCTCTTCTTCCTCCTCCTTCTCCTCCTCCTCCTCTCCTCCGCCTCCTCCTCCTCCTCCTCCTCCTCCTCCTCCTCCAGGAGGAAAATCATCTCTGAGCCGAACTGGCCGGGACCTGGTCGGGGTACTTTTCGTCCGGGAGCCCCCAGAAGCCGCTCCGCGCGCGCAAACTATAACATATTGTTAACCAGTTACCGGAGATCTTAGCACGCCTCTGGCCCGGTGGGGCGGCGAATTTGTGAGGAAAGGGATGGCGGAAGAGGAGGAGGAGGTTCATTGTCCTGTTTGCTGGCCCCAGCCCTTCGGCTCGCGCATTTTTCAAGCCGAGGCGGACTGCTGCGGCTGGCCGCGGTGGTGCTGGACAAGAACAGCTCAGTACCGTGTCGCACGCCTCCTCCCTGCCTCGTTTCTCCCCTCCTCCCTCTCTCCTCCTTGCGTCCCTCCTTCAGCCCGTCCCTCTGCTCTTCCCTCCTCCTCCCTCCTTGTCTTCTCCCTCAGTCACCTTCCTGCTGCTCCTCCTCGTCATCGTCGTCATCATCATCGTCATCATCATCATCATCATCATCATCAGCAGCAGCAGCAGCGTCGTCTTCACAGTCATCATCACCACTATCAACATTATCATGATCATAATCATGATCATCATCATAATCCCTCGTCTTCCCACTCCTTCCTATCTATCCATCCTCCTTCTGATTTCTTTCTCCTCCTCCTCCTTCCTCCTTCCCCCTCGCCTCCTCCGTTTCGCTCCTCCCTCCTTCCCTGCAGCCCCTCCCTCCCGGCTCATTTCTGCTGCTCCTGCTGTTTCTCATCCTCGCTCCGCATTCCTAGCTCCTCCTCGTTCCTCCCTTCTCCCTTCTCCATCTCGCCCTCCTCCTCCTCCTCGTCCACCTCGAGGGGAGAACGGGAGGAGTGGAGGAGGTCCTGGGATTGAGGTCGCAGTCGACGATCAACTTGGCAAAGAACATCGTCGGTGCAGGCATGCTTTCGATGCCTGCCGGTGTGGCGGCATTCAGTGGAAGCCCCTACGCGCCTGCCTTGGCGTCTGCCGACCACGCGATCTCCGACCACGGTCACAGTGATCATGGATCGCCGACCGCGCGGTCCGTCTGGCCCGATCTCGCGGTCGTTTTGGTCCGATCACGCGATGGGCTATCTTGGCACAGGGTCTGCGTCCGCTAGGAGAGGGGCTGTGGTTGGATCGCGTGGTTGGGCACAGACGTCGAGGCTGTGGTGCCCGCTGTGGTCCTCACTCTCATCTTCGCCATGAGCAGCGCCTACGCGTTCGTGCTGCTTGGGGAGCTGTGCCAGTCCACGGGCGAGAACACATATCAAGGGGCGTGGGCGCGCCTCTTCGGCAATGGCTCCACATGGCTGATCACGTTCGCTTGCCTCGCCAACGCCGTCATCGGGTGCATTTGCTACTCCATGATCCTCGGTGATTGCCTGTCCCTTATCCTGGCGCCGGTCGGGCTTCCGACCGCTATCGCAGGCCGCAGCGCGTCGATGATTTTGCTGACCGTGTCGGTGCTGTTTCCGTTGTGCTGCCTGAGATCCCTTGCCTCTCTGGCGAGATTCTCGGCCGTGGGAGTGGCCAGCAACGTCTTCATCGTACTAGTTGTGCTGCTGAGGTGCTTCGACGGCTCGTACAAGTCAGGGGGCGCCCTGCTGAGGCAGGCGCCGCTGGCTCCGGCGTTCACCACCGCCGTGAGCCCGTGGGCGATGCTAACGAGCCCGAGCATCACAGTGTTGCTAGGGATCTTGGGGACGGCGTTTCTTGCCCACTACAACGCGCCCTTTTACTACGAGGGCCTGGCGCCAGGGCCAGACGGGAGGAAGAACGGAAGATTTTTGACGGTGTCCGTCGCTGGCTTCGGGCTGGCAGCCGTGCTGATGTCCCTGGTGATGGCCGGCGGCTTCCTGACCTTTGGTTCCAGCTGCTCGGGGCTCATCCTCAACAGCTACGCGGCCAGGGACGGCCTCGCCGCGGCTGCGCGGGTGGCCATCGGCGTGTCGTTGATCACGGCATACCCCATCGTGTTCTTCAGCGTCAAGTCGCAGGTGTTAGGGATGTTGCCGGAGGGCCTGGCGGAGAAGGCGACGAAGGGCGCCAGCTACAGCGGCGTGACCGCGCTGCTCCTCGGGCTGGTGACCTCGGTGGCGCTGAAGCTGACGGACCTGGGCAAGGTCGCAGGCTTTGCGGGGGCCACCACCGGTATTTCCCTCATCTACGTTGCTCCGCCATTGATGGCGCTGCGGGCCAGGCAAAAGGGCATGCCCGGCTTTACTACGAAGGGTTTGCGGCGCATCATTGATGTGGCCGCACAGAGCACGCTCATCCCCATGGGCGTTGTGCTCGGGGTGGTGGGCGCGGTGCAGACCCTTATGTGAGCGCGCGTGTCCAGGGAACGCAGCATATCGCAGCATGTGTGGCAGCTGGGATCTTTTAGGGTAGGTCGCGCTCCGAAAACAGCATTCTCGCGCTTGAGCGCAAGTCTCCAGAGGGGTCTTCAGAGTTCCCGGATGGCTCCAGGCGAAGCGTGGGCCGAAATCTTCTGTGTTTCGGGCCAAGTTTCGTGGCGGGAGCAGGGGGTCTGCAGAGCCGGCATGCTGGAAGACCTGGGAGTGCTACGCTGCAGATGGGGCGGGAAACCGGTGGAGAGGCCCAACGCATACCAGGAGCCCGCCCCCTAACGTTCGCTCCCTGCCTCTCTGCGTCTCGGCGGGGTGGCCCCAGACACATTCAGGCTGCTCGTGCCCTTCCTTGTCATTGTGCTGCTATTTCCTAGTTCACACGCTCCCCTGCAGTGCTTGCACGGAAAGGTTGCTGGTTTTCTGACTATTCGCTTGCGTTCCCGCTCGTCCCCGCTGGCCCTGACCAGCCCCGAGTGTTCGCTTGCCCCGGTTCGGCCAGAGTTCTGTTCGCCGCGATTAGCTCCTCGCTAGCCTCGAGTGGCCATTTGTTTTGGTTTGGTGGGAATTCGGCTCGCCGCGACTAGCACCTACCAGCCGCTTGCGCTTGCTTCCGTGTGTTGCCACTTGGCTTTACGTTCTTCGATTTGTTTTCACATACTTCCACGTGCTGCCTCTTGCTCCCAGCATTCGCTTCTGTCTGCGTTCATCTTCTTATACGTGCTTGATCTCCTCTTCACGTGATTGCACTTGCAGCATTCTCCAGGGGCACGGCGCGAGAGCGCAAAGAGTATGGCACCTCGCGCCTCGCACGGCGCGAAGCGCGAGATTGGATGACCTGGATGTACCTAGGGGGCGCGAGTTTCCCGCACGGTATCGTGTTGCAGGAACTGCGCGAGAGCGCATCCGTCGCTCCCAGGAGCCTCGAGTGGCCTCCCGTGGCCTCCAGGAGGTCGCGGAGAAGGCGGGAGATGCGCTCCCAGAGCGGGCTGAGGGGTTCATGATGGCTTCGAGGGGACTTCGGAGGCATTCGGGGAATCTCAAGGGAGTACTCCTAATTGATTCCTCCCCGTCCTTCTTGAGACCTACTCATACTTTCTCCTCTTCGCAATCATTCCCTTATACACCTCCTCGTCCCCCTCCTGATACTACTGCTGGTGTTCATTCCTCCTCATCTTTTGTTGTTGCTCTTTCCGCACTTCTATTGTTTGTGATCCTCATCACTGCGACTGTTGCTATAACATGATTACGCCCTTGATGAGCCGCTCGCTACCACTGCCAGGCCGATGGTAAGCTTTCCCATACGTGGCCACGCAATACAATCTGGCTGGGCGGCGAGTGGAACGCGTCAAGTGAGCGATGGGAGTGGAGTGGAGGCGAGCTGAACTGCGATCAGACTGTCTATCCTCGGCCCTGTCTTCATCTCATTGCTTCATACAGCATCCACCTCGTCCTAACCCCCACCGTTCCCGTCCTCTTCTTGAGTATCAGTCTTGCCTGCTCCATTCGCTTGTTATTCCCATATTTGTTTCAACTCGTGGTTATACCCTCCTCTTCTCTTCTTTCCCTTCCTGCTTTCCCTCCCGATTCTAGAATCTCATCCATTCTACCCCCCTTCCCATCCTCTTCCCTGCCTCTTTCAATTCTTCTCTTCTCCGCTCATGTTCCCCACGCCTCCTGCAATGTGTTGTTCGATTGCTCATCTCCTACTCCCGTTGATCCCACGCTCCCCTCCCCCATCCAATCCCCGAACTTGTTCTCTTCCGTCGCAGAGGGCGTCACCCCTCTGTTTGTTTAACTTCGGAGGCATGCAGGCAGGAGTAGTGGCGGCAGTGGGAGTGGGAGGAGGAGGAGGAGGAGGAGGAGGAGGAGGAGCACGATGGGGAGAAGAAGAAGGAGGAGACGAGAAGAGGAGGAGGGATGGCTGAGTGGGAAGAGGATGATGACCGTATGCCTCTTTAGGCAATCCTCGACATGCCCTCGTCGGCGTCTTCCTGCCCCGTGAGCCTCCAGAGCCTCCAAAATACCCAGCGGCCACGGCCTGCTTTCGTCCAATCCTTCCCAGTCCGCTGCGTGCTCGAAGGGGGGAGGAGGAGTAGGAGAAGAAAGGTGACGAGGAGGAGATGTCACAATGAAACCTCCCAGCTCGGATATAGAGGCATTGTTGTGAATGCTGGTTGTTGGGCTCAAGTCGTCACAGTGGTGGGGGGCGAACGGTCTTAACCAGTCATTGCAGGCGTGATTGAAGGGGAATCCGTGATTTCGAAGTATTGTACTCTGCTTGGTGGAGATGTACACAGTTGACAAGCACTGTCGGGCGAATTACCCTTCTTGTTGTATTTGCCATGTGGGTTGGCCCATTCAGACCAAGTCGATCAGTCTCAAACTCGTCCCCTGCAGGCATCGTTTGATGACCCCCTTATGCGGGAGCACACGAACAACGACGCCCGCGTAGGAGACAGATTCGGAAAGCGCCTCCAACCCTGAAATGCCTGAGTGCTTCAAGCAACATGGGCTTCCTACACAGTACATCTTGGTGCCTTGATGAATCTGTACCTCCAACACAAAGTTGTGATGATGCTTCATGAACCATACAGCTATGCAACAAGCATTCGGCTATTTCAAGGTGTCTGCAAACTCCGACCCGATGGTTGAGTATCGTGAGGCTTCTGCGCGTCTCGCACCGAAAGCCATGAGTGTGTCAATGTCGTCCTCGCCGTCCTTTTTCCCTCCCTCCTCCCCCGCTTCCTCCATCCTGCTCCCTCCATCCTGACCCGAGCGCCAAGATTAGGGTCCACCCAGCCCGACCGACCGCCCGAGCAACCTTGCGCCAGATCCGAGCCGCTCACCCGAGTTAGGGATCGCCCCGCCCCGACCGTCCGTGAGCGTCCGCCCGCCCGTGAGGGTCCACACGCCCACCAAGGGTAAGACCCCAGAAGGGCACGAGGTCAAAATTGCGGGTATCAGTGGCATGGGGACAGACAAAGGTGAATCACATGAGGGCAGGCAAGAGCAAGATTTCACACCAGATGATCGCACGACCTGCTTTTGTCGTCGCCGTCGCCAGCGACCCGCCCTGCCACCAATTTGCGAACCGCCCGTGACCCCTGCGACCCGCCCCCGTGCGCCCCCCGTTCCGGCGGCACGCGCGCCCCCCCAGTGGACCCCGCCCCGCCCCGCACCCCCCACCGCCACGATCCGCGCTGCCCCCTTTCCGCCCCATTCCCCCCTCGGCCTGGGCCAGACGAGGGAGCGGCGCGCGAGGAAGGAGTGCTGGGACGAGCTTGACCTCTTCCCCGCGAAGTCGCCCTCCTGTGCATGTTTCGACGTGGGTCGAGCCTTTCTCGGTCGTCGGCGGCCCCAGCCCCCTTGAACCCCCGCTCCCCACGATCCACGCCCTTCACAACCAGCGCCCCCCGCGCCCTGGCGACGCGCGCTTGCCGCTAACGGCGCCCCCTCGCGACCCGCGCGCCCTCACAGCCCGCGCCCCCCCGACCCGCGGCCGCAGCCTGCGCGTGCGAACCGCGACCGCGAGCTGCGCCCACAGTCCAGCCATGGACTACCCGCAGCCCGCACACATTGCTTGGTTGACAAGCTTCTCGCGCCAGCAGTGGAACCAGGTGCGCTCCTCGAAAGGATGACTCAGATATGTGTGTCAGTGCTTATCACCTGCGACTAATCCGACATGCTTAAATAAGTTGGTTGTCCTGCCGTGGCCCGCGATACCCCAGGAAGCAAGGCTTCGAATGCGAACGCGCATGATGATCGTGGAGAAGGAACAGTAGGAGGAGGAGGAGGAGGAGGAGGAGGAGGAGGAGGAGGAGGAGGAGAGGGAGAAGGGAGAGGAGGAGGAGGAGGAGGATCGGCGGCGGCGGCGAGACGGTAACGGGCCGAAGGTCGAACTAAGCGAGCCTGAACACTGTCCGCTAAACTTTGAAAACGTGCGAGCAGTGGCTCCCTCGGCGGGAGCCCCGAGTCGGCCTTGCTCACCAAGATTACGACGAGGGTCTCAAACACAACACTGACCCCTAAAAGCCCCCCCAACAAAAACGGAGTGGCGATATTCACCAAGTCTTCAAAGCTAAGTTGGCGAGGCTGCTGAGGAGGGGGGGGGGCCTCGAAGGAGGAGGAGCAGGTGGGGGAGCGGCGGCAGCGCGGCGACAACATCGCGCCTCGAAGCCGTCCTGGACAGAGGCCTGCACTCTCGCGGACCTCACCAATCTCGAGAAGATGCCGATGACGCGATAAGAGACTCCGCCACTGCAGAATCCACATCACCAGCACGCGAAAAGGCACACGAACGATCATGGGAAGACACCGACAACGCAATCAGAGAATCCACCCTTGCAGACTCAGCATCATCATCATTCCGACACATACGAACTCCATGACGGGGCACATCATGAGAAGACGCCAATTGACCACTGTAATTCTTGACGCTTCGCGTATCCCCACGTCTTCCGCAGCCTGGCTCAAGCCCCTCTGGCTCAAGCCATGTCTGCTCGAGCCCGCCCCTGAGTCAGGTCGGCTCGTGCTCGGGCCCGCGCGCGGTGGAAGCGCCGGCCGCTCGGCGCCGCCGGCAGAGGACCGCGGCCGCCGCTCGCGCCGCCGGCCTCCCCGCTGCCGGCGCCGCGGCCGCCGCAGGCGGACGCCCCCCCGGGCTCCCCTGCGCCGCGGGCGCCGCGGGCGCCGCGGGCGCCACTGGCGCCGCCGGCGCCGTGGACGCCGCGAGCGCCGCGGGCGCCGCTGGCGCCGCCTGCGCTGCCGGCGCCGCGGTCGCCGCGGACGCCGCCGCCGCCGGGCGCCGCGGCGCCGCGGGCGCCGGGCGCAGCTGGCGCCGCCGCCGCCAGCGGGGCCGCGGGCGCCTCGGGCGCGGCCGGCGCCGCGGGCGCGCTGGGGCCGGCGCCGCGGGTTCGGTGGCCGCGCCGCCGCCGCCGCCCTGCGGCCGCCGCGCCGCGGCTGCCGCCGCTGCCGCCGCGGCCGCGGCCGCCGAGGCCGTGGCGGCGGCCGGCCGCGGCGAGGCCGCCGCGGCCGCCGGCGCCGTGGCTCGCGCTGCGGCGCTGGGGCCTGCCGCGGCTGCCGCGGCCGCCGCGGGTGCGGCGGCCGCCGCTGTGGCCGCAGCGGCCGCGGGCGCCGCCGCGCCCGCCGCGGCGCCCGCCGCGGCCGCCCCTGCTGGACTCCCCGCCGCACGCCTTCCTGAGCGAGCAGGGCGGGCTGGCGCCGGGGGGATTCTGCGCGCCCCCTCGAGGGCGCCCGGCGACTACGAGAAGAACAGCGTTCTGGGCGTGCCCTTCGGCAGCACCACGCTGGCCGGCGAGAACAAGTGCCGCAAGCTGAACGCCGACGACCACGACCGCGACGGCTACGAGGACGACCTCGACCACGACCGCGGCGACGACCACGACCACGTCCCCCCTGACCACGACCACGACGGCTACGAAGACGACCGCGACCACGTCCACGACGACGACGTCCACGACCTTCACGGGCGCCGTCGCCTCTACGACGACGACGACGACGACGTCCACGTCCACGAACACGGTCACGACGCCGACGTCGACGACGTAGACGCCGACAACGACGACGCCGACCCGCTGCGGCACCACAGCTGCCGCAGCAGCCGCTGCAGCAGCAGCAGCGGCAGCTTGCCTCCCCTCGTATCTTCGACAGAAGACAACGTCCCAAAGGGGAATCGAGGTGCGGTGGAGGCAGACGCCACGATACCACCCCTCACATCGTGGTCAGACGATGGCGCCCCAGCGGGGAACCGAGAGGAGGTAGCCTGCAGTGACCAGTGCACAGCTCACACGAACGTTCCCCTCCTTCAGGTGCACCAGCAGGCCAGAGGAATGGAACGGGAAGTCACTGCGGAGACGGCGGAGGCTGCGGAAGCCGCGGAGTACCCCCCTCTGGTCAAACTGTCCGTCAGCAGTCCTCTGCACCAGCAAGGCAGAGGAATGGGGGGGGGAAGTCACGGCGGTGACGGCGGAGGCTGCGGAAGCCGCGGGATTTCCCCCGCTGAGCAACCAGCGCGCCAGCAGTCCTCCGGGATGCAGTTTCCAGGGTGCGGCTCACACGAACGACCCTCGAGAGGAGGCAATATACAGCGACCAGTGCATGGCTCGCTCTAACTACTCCCCCCTCCAGCAGGACCAACAGACCAGAGGAAAGGAGTGGAAAGTCACGTCGGAGTCGGAGGATCGGCACGCTCTCTGGAATCGTCTTTGGAGCCCCAGAGACGCGACGCGAGCACATATCGACGACCGCTCTCTCCCCCCCATCAATTTACCAGATACCGCGGCTATCGGCTGCGCCTCCTCCTCCTCCTCCCATTCTCCGATCACGCATGTTCCCCCCGCAACAGGACAGGGTCAGG